AGACAAAATAATAGAAGTAACAATCGTTAGCAATTCACAAATTAATCAAAATAATTGTATAAGTCAATTGCAACGATAATTCACAACGTTATGTTATATTTAAGCGTCTTGTTAAAAGCAAAAAAATAGATAAAATTATCATCTAGTTATACTGAAAAAAACAGTATCTTTTTATTAGTCAAATATATAAGTATATGATAAAATTTAATACAAAAGTATGTGTATTTAAATTATATATTTGAATAATAATAGAATAATTTTTTAAAAAGATGCATCGTTGGCTTTTATGTTCTTTTTGTCTAATAATTTGACTTATTTATAAAGTCTATTATAATTTGAATTTTAATCTAATAAATATGTGGCTAAAGAAAAAAAAGCTGATAAGGTAAAATATTATTTTATTAATATGAATAGAATTAGAAATTTTGTTGTGTAACAAACAAAAAAAAGATTAATTTGAAAACAAAGAATTATATATACAGTTAGAAACATAGACTTGTACAATATAAAAGTCTGGTTACATATTTTGCTTTGAATAATTTTGCCGATTAAATTAATCGCCTGTTAACTCATGAAGTAATCTTTATTTCAACATGAATAATGTTTTAATATGGACAGACTTAATTTTTTTGTTGTTTGACATATATGTAACAAAGAGATTAGATTGAAGATAGTGAATTATATATTTAAAATAAATTTCATTAACTCGTCAAATAATTTCGACAGTAATTTTAGTATGCATAGAATTAATTTCTTGTTATTTTATATATAAAAAAAAGATAAGATTGACGATAATAATTATATATTTACAATTTTTATTCTTTAAATTCTGCTCATTGTGAATTAATCGATGATTAATTCGTCAAAAAATAAAATATTTTATTAACATAAATGAAATTGTTAAGGTTTTTTTTTTCGTTTAATATATGGAAAAGGAATCTAAAACAAAGAATATTGAATTGTATATATGATATGTAGCTAGAATTTCTTGCCGTAAATAATATCGAAGTCGTTTCGACTCTTAAAAATTGAACGTTTTCGATACTGTTCGATATATCGATTGTTCCACCGAATGCATATCAATTTCGAAGGAAAGGATTGTACTTCTAGCCAAGGCTGCATTATGGTTATGTTTTAATATGTGCTGTGG